TCATGGTAAATAATCTTTGCTTCCTGGTATATGTATTAATTATACAAATTTATACACTTTGTTTAATTACGATCTCCCTTTTTACTTTAAATTTAAATTGTATTATTTTTAAAAGTCAAATATATGCATATAGTTATATAATAATATCCAAGGCAGTCATAAGCCTAGTTTCCCCTCCACAGGCATTTTCAGCTTTTCTCTGTGGCTTCTGTATTTACACCACTCTTACACTGCTACTGTTATTTTTTCAATTTTCTAAATCTCTCTCTACTCTCTCTTCTCTTTTCCTTTCCTTCATGTTCCCAATATATCATGTTTTTTAAACTTAATAATCATTCATTGTATTTTATGAACATGTAAGGATTCCCCGTGTATTCTTTCTTGTACAACCTTTTGTTTTCCTTGAAGTTAATTGTTTTGCCATTCTTTTCGATTAGTCTTCTAAAATAGAAAAAATTCTTAGTCCTTGCTTATCTTGAAAATATTTTCTGCACTTAGCCAGTGATTTGTTTAGGCATATAATTCTGCTTTGGAAATCATTTCATTCAGAATTTTGAATCTTTCTTTTAGTCCTATTTAACTGTGTTGCTGTTGTGAAATGTAATTTTCTGAAAGCATTTTGGATCTTTGAACTTCATTATTTTTTTGTTTGGTTGTCCATTGTATTTAGTGGATTAAATGCTGTGTAAAACTGCTTATTCACTGAATTTCTAATCACAGAACCTAGCATTGTTTTTATATGAGAAGCTGTTCAGAATCTGAGCAACTGTAAGACTCATAAGGCCATTGAGAAAAATGCCTTTTTAAAAAAAGATTTATTGGGGCACCTGGGTGGCTCAGTGGGTTAAAACCTCTGCCTTTGGCTCAGGTCGTGATTCCAGGGTCCTGGGATCGAGCCCCGCGTCCGGCCCTCTGCTCGGCGGGGAGCCTGCTTCCCCCTCTCTCTGCCTACTTGTGGTCAAATAAATAAATAAAATCTTTAAAAAATAAATAAAAATTAAAAAAGATTTATTTAGGGGCACCTGGGTGGTTCAGTCATTAAGTGTCTGCCTTCCACTTGGGTCATCCCAGGGTTCTGGGATCAAGCCCCGCATTGGTCTCCCTGCTCTGCAGGAAGCCTGCTTCTCCCTTTAGCACTCCCCTGCTCACTGGCTTGTGTTCCCTGTCTCGCTGTCAAATAAATAAAAAATAATATAAAATAAGAAATGGAAGGAAATTATTAAAAAAAAAAAGATTTATTTATTTGAGAGAAAAGGGCATGCATGTTGTGTGGGCGAGTGTGTGGGAGGGGCAGAGGGAGAGGGAGAATCTCACACAGACTCTCCCTGCTGAGCCTGGATTCCTCTTGGGGAACTTGATCTCACCACCCTGAAATCATGACCTGAGCCGAAATCAGGAGTTGGATGTTTAACTCACTGAGTCACCCAAATACCCTGAAAAATGCCTTTTTTTAGTTAAAAAAAAAAAAAAATTCTTTCATTGAACAAGAAGGGGTTTAGTCAGACCCTGCATCTCTGTACTAGTGGCTTTCAAGTTCACTGTGCTTAACGATCACCTGGTTATGCTTGTTTTCCATGTAGACTCCTTGATCCCTCCCCGAGATACTTGGATTCAGTAAATCTGACTAAGGATCATCTGGTGATACTTATCAACCAAATGGATTTTTTTTTTTAAGATTTTATTTATTTATTTGACAAGAGAGAGATCACAAGCAGGCAGAGAGGCAGGCAGAAAGAGAGGAGGAAGCAGGCTCCCTGCTGAGCAGAGAGCCCGGTGCAGGGCTCTATCCAGGACCCTGAGATCATGACCTGAGCCGAAGGCAGAGGCTTATCCCACTGAGCCACCCAGGCGCCCCAACCAAATGGATTTCTTGATCCCTCCCCAGGATCAGTGAGTCTGGTGTAGCACTAAGAAATTTGCATTTTCCTATGCAGGCACCCTAGTCAAGCTGCAGTACTATGAAACTGAGAGTCTTCAGGCAGTGGGGAAATGGATGCTCATTTCAACTTCCTCTTTTATTTATACAAATAGGGAGTGTCTTTAAATAAAAGAAATACATAATTTGTGTGCACATTTTTACATGTGGTGTTTGAGTCTCTGGGATGATGCTGAACACCTGTTAAGCAGATAACAGGCCGAACAGCACCTGCCGTTAGACATGGGACTGTGTTGTGTCGTAATTATTGATTCACATGTCTGTCTGTCCCAGCACACTGCGCAGTCTCTGAAGCAGGACAGAGGATGTTTTAAAAAACCTTTTTCAGTGATCTGTGGGAAAGTGTGTTGTCTCTGGAAATTCTGTGTTGCCGTATAGTTCCTCGTAGAAGAGTGGTATGAGTAATGATATAGGCCTGTGGTGATCTTTCTTTGTGTTAAGGTCTTTAATGAGTTTTGTATTTATATCATCATCTTTGGATATCTTTATTCCTTAAGGACTAAAGTGTGGTGGAAGAGAACAATTAGGATCATTGCTTGAGATTCATCATTGACCAGCTGGGTTATCTATATAACAGTTTGCTAATAGTTCCTTTGGTTTGGTGTAGTCTTAAAATTTGTCATATTTTTTTCTGTGAGCCAAGATTTGTTCAGCATAAAGGAAACCAGCACTTTAAGTCTCTTTTTAAACTACTTTTATCAACAACTCTTGGCGTGGTAGCACATGTGTTAATTACATATTCATATTTACTTCATAAAATAATTCTGACTCAACCTCCTGCTTTGTTAGCTGTTAGTATATGTACTTGAATATTTTAAGTGTCAGATTTTCATTTTTAATTTGGCAGAAAATACGCAGCTACAGTAAAGAAAATTAAAAAATGAAAATCACCTATTATTTTTTTATCTTTGCATAAAAGCTACATTCCTCCAAATAATTTATATTTTAGATTGGCTGGGTGTCCTCTTGATTTTGTAATCATGTCGTATCTCTAAAACAGTATCTAATCAGTATTTCCTTATCTCTTAATGTAATTATGAAAATAATGGTTTGATGATTCTGTTTAAATCATCTTGTCATTTCAGATGGTATGGAGGAGACTAATGCTGTATTGTTTGTATGAATTTTCAATGTCAGTTAACCCTTAACATCCGAATGGCTCTTAAAGAAAGTGGTATCTAGGGGCGCCTGGGTGGCTCAGTGGGTTAAGCCTCTGCCTTCGGCTCAGGTCATGATCCCAGAGTCCTGGGATCGAGCCCCACATCGGGCTCTCTGCTCGGCAGGGAGCCTGCTTCCCTTCCTATCTCTTTGCCTGCCTCTCCGCCTACTTATGATCTCTGTCAAATAAATAAATAAAATCTTAAAAATAAAAGTATCTATTAAAACATTCAGCTTTCATTAAAAAAAAACAACGAAAAACACTCAACTTAGAGAACTCTAAAAAACCAGAATTTATTTCTTCTAAGTGATTAAGTATTAAATGTTGGAAATACTGCTCTTTCAGCTGTTAGAGAGGCAAAAAAAAGAAACTGAAGCCTATTTTTGGAAAGCCCATTTGGTCTGTAAGCACACTACACGCGTGAGGCGCGCACGTCCACAGGTCACAGAACTTCTGTGGCAGCTGTAGATGTGCAATCCTCAGCAGAGCAGTTTCCCTGCCCGTAATTCTGTCCTTCCTAAGGGCCTGTCAGGTAATTGTTGACTGTGAGTGTTGTTATGTGCTCTGAAGTAATCATGTTAATTTTTCTTCTTCAGTATTATGCACGAATAAAATTAGAAAAACCAAAAACCTTTATAACTCTCGCTAACCAAATTAGAGACTTGACAGGATAATATGGAAAGAACACATGCTCTCAGAAATCTTTTGAAGTGATATTAACTAGAGCTGATTACCAGAAAAAGATGTTTTTATGAGGAGAAATTTTTTTAAATCTGAGGAATATACATTTGCAAAATGTTAGTAAACTGTGATTGTTGATCTGTGTGTGAGCATTCTGCATTTTATTTTGCTTTTGGTAATTTTTTCCTTTCAGTTGTTTTCCACTCTGATATTCCAACAGCCTGCTCTTCCAGCTTCCCATTCAACGGATATGTGATGCGTTTGGGTTTTGCTCGTCATTTTGTGGGTTGCAAGCAGTGACTTCTGTTTACAAAATCAAATGACATTATGACATTTAAAAAAATATTTTGTGTGTCCTGACCAATTATCTATAATCTGTATCAAAAGTCTTCTGTCAAATTTCTGGCTCCACAGAATTTTTCACACTAGTGAGGATAATTATACACGTGTTTGTAATAAATGCCTCTACCTGGGTAACCTTAATTTTTCTCAAGTCTAGACAAGCCTTTTCTTTCCCTTTTTTTTTTTTTTTTTTTTTTTAAATAGACATTCATTTTCAAACTTACACCCAGGGCTATATGATCAAAGGTAAATGCCATCAGACTTCAAGTTCTATAAATCTGTAGATCTTTTATTTTGCCCTTTACTTTATAGCAGTGTCTTTAAATTTTAACTAGGCTTTAGAGCAGTGTCAATAAAGGTAAGTTAGTTAATCTTGATATGAATGTGTATTATTTTTAGGTTCTCATATGCAGTGGCTACTTAAAAAAATTCAAAGATTATTTTAGGTACCGGTTTGCACAGTGAAATCTTATCTAAAGTCTTTGTATAAAATCGCCTAATATTAACTCTTTATAGATTCAGAAACTCACTTCTGATCAGAAGCTTTCATTGTACTCCTTTTGTTTTTCTTTAATAATTAGGAAATACCTATCAAGTGTTTTATGTTATAAAGATTTACTGCCTAACACAGTTCCTTCCACAGGTTAGCCTCGGAGTAAATGTCTACAGACAGTCCTGTGTTTTTTTTTTTTTTTTTTTAGGTTACACAACACCAGGATTGTATAGCAAGTCTAAGTATATACATATATGTATATTCCTAATTGCCATCTAGTTTCTTAGTATCAACTTTACATTCTGTGTATTCTTAATATTGTATATGTCATCACCATGAAGGTGATGTGGCTTTTCTTACATTTATCCACTTTTTCCCTCTTTCAACAGGGGAAAATGCAGTGTTGCCCTTCTGAATGAGACAGAGTCAGTATTGTCGTATCTTGATAAAGAGGTAATTCACAATTACACTTGTTTTGTGTTTTTTTTCTCCCTTGATTTCACACGAACCCCATACCTTTGAGTTTATTTCTTCTTGCACCAAGTTATTGCATTGCGAGAGCAGCATTATATAAAAGTATAATGACTAGAATGCATTTAGATAATTTGATTTTTCTGGTTAACTGAGATAATATTTGGCAAAAACTTCTGTGTCTGGTTTTTTTCGGTTGGTAATGAAAGGCTTTATACAGTAGGATGAGTTAGTTGGTAGTAGAACTGTTTTAGGCTTTATGAAATAAGTGACTTCTGTATACTTGGTATTCCTCCCTGTTTTTTTTGTTTTTGTTGTTTTTCAAATAAACAGTTTTTCTTTGAGACTTTTTCCAGATGAGATCTTAACTAGTGGTCTGCTTTCTTTCTTAAAATCCCAGTAAACTTTGTCAACTAAAAATGTTTCTTTCTGTAAACTTCATTAAGAAACATTTTAAACATTTTTTTAACAAGTTGAATGAGAGCATATGGTTCATCGGAGGGAGGAAGTTCCTCTAAACAGAATAGTCTACAATGGGAAAATTTTTACTGTTAATGTTTTAGTATTTAACCTTTATAATTTCATGGTATTTTTGTTTTCTCAAGTCTATTTTTTGTATGTATGTGTGTGTGTATATGTACTTTATATATGTGTGTATGTGCTTTTAAACAATTAAAGGGGGGTGCCTGGGTAGCTAAGTCGTTAGGCGTCTACCTTCAGCTCAGGTCATGATACCAGGGTCCTGAGATGGAGCCCCTCGTTGGGCTCCCTGCTCATCGGGGAGCCTGCTTCTCCCTCTCCCACTTCCCCTGCTTGTATTCCCTCTCTCACGGTGTCTGTCAAATAAATAAAATCTTAAAGAAAAAAAAAAAGAATCAAAGGGATATATTTTCTGTGAAAAAAACTTTTTTGTTATACTTAAAATTTGCTTAAAATTTAAAAAGTACTTAAAATATACTTTAATAATTATACTTACTATGTATACTTAACATGTTATACTTAAAATGTTGTCCCCTCATCTCAAATGAAGAATACATAACTGCAAAAGATATTGCAGACAGGTAGAACTATTGTACATTAGAAAATCTAATAGAGAAAACTAAGAGAAAGTAAATACTCAAGGCGGAAACAAGATTGATAGTCTTTATAACTTATACATGGGAAATTTAGAAAAGAATGTAGCAGTGTTTTTCAGTCAACATATGGATAACTGTATGGAGAAAGATAATGCTCAGAAATTAGCATTAGTTCACAAAAGCAGAAATAAAAGGAAGAAACACTGAATACGTTTCAGTGTATTTTACTGGTGTATTTGGCTGTTAAGACAGTGTAATTTTTTAATTTCTAATTTTTTTTTTAAGATTTTATTTATTTGTCAGAGAGAGAGAGAGAGCGCTCGAGAGTGAGCACAGGCAGACAGAGTGGCAGGCAGAGACAGAGAGAGAAGCAGGCTCCCTGCCGAGCAAGGAGCCTGATGCGGGACTCTATCCCAGGACGCTGGGATCATGACTGGAGCCGAAGGCAGCCGCTTAACCAACTGAGCCACCCAGGCGTCCCTTTAATTTCTAATTTTTAAAGAAGCTTTATTTTTAAGTAATCTCCACACCCAACATGGGCCTTGAACCTACAACCCTAGAATCAAGAGTCACACGCATGGTCCACTGATTGAGCCAGCCAGGTGCCCCAACAGTGTGATTTTTAAAAAAGTGGTATTTTTGCCTTCTAATTTGTCGTTAGTAATTTCTATGTGCTAAGGATTATAGGAGATGAAAATTTGCAAAGGACTTTAGGATTTTTATCCTGTCCATTTGATTTTTAAGCACTTGGTCCTGTATCAGTCTTTGGGAAAGGAACTGACGTCTCTGGCAGTGTATTTGAGGAAAACTTTTTTTATTCAGAGAGAGCAGTTTAGTAAAAATAAAACTGCTTACGTTATATTCTTTTTTCAATTTGAAAAACACTTTATTCTTTTTTTTTTTAACTTCCTTATCTGTTATAAGACCATCCTTGAGAAAATCTGGTTTTTAAAATATTGAAATTGGCATATTTGAGGATGGTAAGTCAAAGGACAACTTTCTAATCACGATTTTTTATTTGTTGAAAAATTCCATTTACATTTTAAACAATTTCCCATATCAGGCAGGACATATAAATTTAAGGAATTTGTTTTTTTTCTTTTAGAGAGAGAGCACATGTGAGTGAGCACAAGTAGGGGGAGGGGCATAGGGAGAGGGAAAGGGAGAGAGAATCTTAAATAGACTCCAGGCTTAGCACAGAGCCCAACATGGGGCTCGATTTCATGACCCTGAGATCATGACCTGAGCTAAAATCAAGAGTCGGTTGCTTAACTGATGGAATCACCCAGGTGCCCCAAATTTAAGGAGTCTGAAGCAACCTGGGTGGCCCAAAATAATAATTTCATCTCATTTTACTGACAAGTATGGCAGAATCCTATTTTTATAGAATCCTGTGCTGACATATTTTACAGAATAAAAGTGACCAGAGGTGTGTCCTCTTTTGAAGTCGATGGTGTGCCAGTGGCAGTAGCTTTAGTTCCCTACTAACACTCTTTGTTGCTCCTGTCTTCAGAGACACGTAATTCTGATTATGTATTGATCAACCTGTCAACCTATTAAGCAGGTTGATTTATATATTCTGCAGATTTTTCTTTTCCCTGGGTAGTACTTTTATATGCGTAAATTGTCACATTGTTGTGTCTTCTTAGCAATTTTATTGTTTAAGCTTTTCTTCTGACAGTGACCCATGTCACCTTGTTTTGTTCTCTCCTTTCCCTTTATTACGGTCTGTAAGAGCCCGAAAGGAGAAAGCTTTACAGTCTGGCAGGTATCTCTTACTTGCAGCCTGCTCGCCAGGGTCGTGGTAAAATGTGGATGGTAGAAACAGGCCCCTCCAAGATATAAAGCAGAGAGTCATATAGTAGATGACTCCCAGAGTCCTAGCAGGGAGCAGGGACAAGACTTTATAAGACATCTGGTTGTTTTGCAAAATTCAGCAAAGGCCTGGTGCTTGGTCATTTTATCCTTTAGGCTCAGTCAGTAGGGCCGTTTTGCATTCCAAAGGACCTCGGGTGCTGGCTTTGGCAGCACATACACTAAAATTGGAACAATACTGAGAAGATTAGCATGGTCTCTGTGCAATAATGATAGGCAAATTCGTGAAGGGTTCCATATTTTGTGACGAAAGGGGCAGGTGGGAAGGACCTTGGAAAGTTAATGGGTATGCTGGTAGTGGTAGGTATAGTTATGTTTATATGCCTATTTATATGTAAATATGAGTGCTTCAGGATTTAAAGGAGAGCTGCAGAATTGGAATTAATAGATGTTTAAATAATACAATGTGACATTTTAATGAGTAAACTGCAATTAAGCTCAACTCTTCTAAACTTTATTTAATGTGAGATGTGTATGCATTTTAACATACTGATAAAATGTGGACGGACACTTTAAAAGTAAGGGTGCCAGGTGTCCTCATTGTTCAGTATGGGCTTTAGAGATTGAAATACGACTTCAGGAGTCTTACTTGACTTACAGCTTAGCTTTGCTAGCTTTCCAGAATCTTGTTTTAGAGCGGTTAAATGGTTTTCTTTTAGACTAAAACAAACAACAAAACCTGATAGTCTACCTTTATTGTAAGCTGTTTATTTTTGCTTGATTTAGTTTTACGCTATTTTACATGATGACAGTAACATCATTTTCTTGTTCAAGATCTATGAATTTATCCACCAAAATGAAATCTTAAGTACTTTCTGAAGTTTTATGGTTTCTTTATGGTGACATTGGCCTTATTGCTGTATAAAAAGTAGAAGGAATTAAGTTTACCTAAAATTTTCTGTCATTTTTTTTTCAGGACACCTTTTTCTACTCATTGGTCTACGACCCTTCAGTGAAAACACTGTTAGCTGACAAAGGTGAAATCAGAGTGGGGCCTAGATATCAAGCAGACATTCCAGAGATGCTCTTAGAAGGTATGTTTTCCTTTGGGTTTCAGTCCTACGAAAACAAATATATCTTGAAACTCAAATATCCTTTTCCTCATCTGGGAAAGGAGACTTTTAGGCTAAAGTTTAACTGTTATAAGTTCTTCCACTTGTAGAAATACAACAAATAGCAACAGAAAATAATTTGAGGAGTTGTTTATTTATTTTACATTCTTATGAGTTTTCTGGCTGTGTTTTCCTTTAATTTTATTATATTTTATTTTATTAAGTAGACTCCATGCCCAGTGTGGAGCACAACATGGGCCTTGAACTCACGACCCTGAAATCAAGAGGGTCTGACACTTAACCAGCTGAGCCACCAGCTGACCCTATGCTTTTCCTTTTAAATGCAACTTTAAGAATGTTCATATTGTTGAACTTTTGTCTTAATGTGACACATCTACGCCTTGAGGTCCTGAATGCCCGTAAGTCATCTGTCTGAGGTGGCCTGGAATCTAGTGAACAGTTACATTTTGGAATTTGGGCTAATCTGGGGTAGTTTATGTACTGGAGGGAGGACTCAGAGCTTTACATTTTAAAAACAACTTAGAACATAACTTCCTTTCTCCTCTTATAACTGTACATTTAAAATCTTTACTTTCTGATTTTAAAAGTAAAACATTCTTCAGACATAGCAATGTATGATGTAGTGAACGAACACCATCCCCTTTCCTTCACTTCAAATCCCCGTTTCACGCCTGTGGTTGTTTGGGGTGTATTTGCGCTGGCCTGCCCCCGCCTCCCGGGACTGGTCTAGGACTGGTCCAGGACTGGCCATGTTGCACGTGATCTTCTGGAGCTGCTCTTCTCCATTCACAGTGTATCTTTCTTTAGCACCTTCTCACAGGAGTAATGTGACTTTTATTTTTTTCAGTGACCCTGCAGGTCTTACATTTGCCCGCATGTACTATCATTCCCTCTTTCAGTCCCCTATTGATAGATTGTTAGGTATTTACATTTTTCTGTGCTACAAATTGATGCTCCTAGAAAACTTACACATATATTTGTGCTGTATAAATATTTTTCAAGCATAACTTCTTGGAAGTGAGATGGTATATACATTTTACATACTGAAAATGCTCCTCTGCTCTTCCAAAACGCTGTGTTCCTGTACGTTTGAAAGAACCAGGTGCTTTCGCCAACCCTGATTGTGAGGGATTTTTTTCACCTTCCATTCCTCCCCCCCCAATTTTGATATGTCATTGTCTTAGGGGTTTTTGTTTTGTTTTGAAGTTGAGATTATACTTGCCTTAGTTATTTTTAGCTCTCCTTTAAATTTCTTGTGCTTTTTCTCCATGGTTATTTATTTTTTTATGTATTGGCAAGAATTCTTTGACTATTAAAGGTAAGTAAACACAGAAGTATTTACCTTTGTCTATAAATATTACAGATACCCTCCCCCCACATACACTTAACTATTTCATTAAAATTTTTTATTAGTGATTTTAAATTTAAATCTTTAATATTTTTTGTCATACAGAAATTTAAAATTTATTAGTCTTTTCCTTTAAGGCATTTTATGATGTGCATTCTTCACAGAAAGGCCTCCACTTTTACTTTTGCCCTCTGATTATTAAAACATCTGAGTTCGGGGCGCCTGGGTGGCTCAGTGGGTTAAGCCTCTGTCTTGGGCTCAGGTCATGATCTCAGGGTCCTGGGATTGAAACCCACATTGGAGCATTGGACTCTCTGCTCAGCGGCAAACCTGCTTCTCCCCCCACCCCCCCACCTGCCCCTCTGCTTACTTGTGATCTCTATCTCTGTCAAATAAATAAATAAAATCTTAAAAAAAAAAAAAAAAATCTGAGTTCTTCCCGGGCTCCTGGCTGGCTCAGAAGTGTGTGACTCTTGATCTCAGGATCGTGGGTTTGAGCCCCATGTTGGGTGTAGAGATTTTAAAATAAACTTTAAACAAAAATTAAAACAAAACAGGAGTTCTTCCATTGGTTCTTCTCCCTTTTTATCTTGCCATACTTCTAAGAAAATGTACACAGAAAAGTTAAATCAACAATTACTCAAGATAGAGTTTGTGAACTGTAGTACACATTGGTGTCAGTAATGCCAGGCTACAGACATCTTTCTTCTCATGAACTTAAATACCAGGAAAGGTCAGTCAATAAAGATTAAGCTCAAAGGAAAGAACTCTGTGTCTGTGCTCACCTGTGTTTGGAAATGATTTTGAACAGACTGGGAGTAGTGAACCAGTTTATTATAGGTTTGAGAAATTTTATATATATATATATATATATATATATATTTTTTTTTTTTTTTTTTTTTTTTTTAGAGCAGTTTTTTTTATTTGACAGAGCAGCAACAGAGATCACAAGTAGGCAGAGAGGCAGGCAGACAGAGAGGAAGGGAAGCAGGCTCCCTGCTGAGCAGAGAGCCCGATGCGGGGCTGGATCCCAGGACCCTGGGATCATGACCTGAGCCGAAGGCAGAGGCTTCAACCCACTGAGCCACCCAGGCGCCCCGAGAAATTATATTTAATTGGCATTCTTATCTGTGTAAATCAGCTTATCTTCCAGAAGTAGTTTTTATGTTTTTAGTCCTTAATGTTTGATATTAGACTTATATCACTGTACCTAAGTATTCACTAAATATTATTTTATTTTTTTAAAACTTGATTTTTAAATTTCACAAACAGTGCTGTAATGCAAAAATGGATTATTTTGTACTCCAGATATAAGTGGCAAAGTAGATTTGCTGAGTCATAGGGCTTGTGTGTTTGAAATTTTATACAAAATGCCAAATTGTCTTCCAGGTAGTCATTTACAGGTGGGTAGTCATTTATAGGTGGGGTTTTTTTCCTCTTGTTTTAATTAAGGTGTAATTTATATGTAGTACATCCCACCCTTTTAGGTGTACAGTTCTGTACAGAAGTGTTTGTTCCCAGTGAGATAGTTCTCCAAGTCCATCTGTGCACAGGCCAAATGCCAGCAAGGTCCCTTGTGCCCATGTGTGTATGGCACCCAGCCCAAATCCTGCATCCCCTAAGCAGCCTTTGTTACTCTTCCCTGAACGCTCATCCCTCGCATCTTTGAACTGTGCAGATGTTATCTTTTATACTATTTTTTATTATTTGACTTTAGAAATTTTAAAATCAACACCTGAGCTGTTGATTGTATGGTTTTCCCTTAAACACTGAGCACAAGCCTTGATGTATAGAAAGCCTGGAATGTTTTTTTAAATATTTTATTTTATTTTTAAATTATTTTTATTAATATATAATGTATTATTTGCCCCAGGGGTACAGGTCTGTGAAGCCTGGAAATTTTTGAGTATTGCTCGTGGATAAATGCTAAACCAGGTAATGAAGTTGGTATGTTTCGAGTAACAGTGGGCAGAACAATCAGATCATAGAATCTCACAAAATCCCATTTATCTGGAAGACTATTTAAATAAGGTATTTATGGGCTACCTGGTAGCTCAGTCGTTAAGCCTCTGCCTTCAGCTCAGGGCATGATCCCAGGGTCCTAGGATCGAGCCCCACATGGGGCTCCCTGCTTAGCGGGAAGACTGCTTCTCCCTCTCCCACTCCTCCTGCTTGTGTGTTCCCTCTCTCACTGTGTCTCTGTCTGCCAAATAAATAAATGAAATATTTAAAAATAAATAAATAAATAAATAAATAAATATGGTATTTACCCCTGAAAAATGTTAAAGCTACGTAATTTGGAAAGCATATCTCCCTAGATCAGAATTTTAAAAGATGATTTTAGGAAACAAAATGATACATGAAATGTAAAAATTTATTTTACAGTTCCCAAAACAGACTTGAAGTTCTTCTGGGTGAGAGGAATGATTCTTAACAGCTTGTGGCATTTGGGGAGTTACCTGACAAAGGCATACTTCGTATTTAGAAAATGTGATTGAGTGTTCATTTAATGTAATAGATCTTTTATAGTTCTTTAACAAGTATTAATTACCTTTAATATAGTGTTTCTCCTGGCAGTCTTCTGGGTGGGTGGTTTATAAATTTTATTTAGGTAATAGAACACTTTCTTCTAATGAAACACTACACAGTATGACCTTAAATAAAATAAGAAAAGCAGCTTGTTGTGGGTAAGGTAGAAGAGAAGGCCCCACTGGATCTCCTGAGATACCCCAGTGAGCCTTAGGGTTAAGAGAAGGACACGCTGAAGGCTGCTGTTCAGTACTTCACTCTTAGAGTCCTGTCTCTTCAGCCCAGAGAGAAGCCACTCAGATGTGTGTAGGATGAAGTCCCTTTGCAACATAGCATAACAATGGCACTCCACTAGATTCCTGTTGCAAATAATAGGAATTGTGGTAGAAAATGCAATTATACTGAAATCAAAAAGTAGTAGTTCCTCAGATCATCCCTCTTTGCCCACTGTCAAACAGCATTACTAATTTAATATGTTCTCCCTGTTTGTTACCTATCATATTGAGTTCCATGAAATTATATTCAGTGTTTAATTGTGTGACAGATCCAAGTTTATCTGTCTCTTATCCCATGTTTTATGGTAGGGTAAGTTTCCCCTCATTGTTCTTAAAATTTCCTGTGTGTGTGTGTGTGTGTGTGTGTGTGTGTGTGTGTGTCAGGGTGGGGAGGTGTCTCATCTCAGAGATATTTTTCCGACTGTTGATTTTTTTTTAATCAGTTAGTCAAATACTTCCTTCCCAGATTTCATTAGGATTCTGATTAAAATTATATTAATATTTTCTATTACTTTGGGAGGTGACTGGTCATTTCATAATATTGAGTCTATTCCTATGGGTCTGTGGGGGTCTGTTTTGAGGTTTTTATTCTGTCTGACTGGTTTGTTTGTTAATGTTCTAGGAACTCACTGGTTTAATTATAGCGACTTTGTATGTGTGGTAATACCTGGTGAGGCTAATCCTCCTCTTATTTTTCTGAATAAACTTTATTATCAGCTTGAATCTTCCTTACTATGTTTATTGGCATTTCAGTTAATTTTAAAGTTAATTTAGGGAGAACAGACTTTTGATGGCTTTGAAAAATCTTA